TGTATAAAACCAAGCACCTAGGCATGCAGACTGCTTCTACAAACATTTGTGAAAGAATGGGTCGCTCTCAGGAGCTCATTAAATTCCAGCATGGTACCGTGACAGGATGCCACCTGTGCAATAAGTCCAGTCATGAAATTTCCTCACAGACCTCCAAACTTCATGTGGCCTTCAGATTAGCTCAGGAACAGTGCGTAGAGAGCTTCATGGAATGGGTTTCCATGGCCGAGCAGCTGCATCCAAGCCTTACATCACCAAGCGCAATGCGAAGCGTCAAATGCAGTGGTGTAAAGCGCCGCCACTGGAGACGTGAGCCACACACTGATGAGGATTTTGAGGCTAAAGTGTTACTGAAGTTTAATAAAGGACTCTGAATGTCATGTCTGTACATATCTTGCTGATATGTTTAAATTGGGGCAATTTTATTTCAACAGTTGACAATGCATTGCACAAAATTGTTCCTTTTGTGTCTGGTTATTTTTGTTGATTTTTTTAAGGAAAAACCTGGAATGACTTTGCCTTTACTTAGTCTAAATTTTGTTGGATATTACACCTTTGGTTGTGTAAGTTTGATTGTTGGCTACACTTAAACTTACATTTTGGTGATCTTTTTGTATATTTGCAGTTTTTAAATTATATGTCTTTTTTCTGGCACATGATTAAATGCAGTGTCTTGTTCACACTATCAGTTGGGCTTGTTTGGTATGTCAGGTGGAGATTCACAAACATTCTGACAATTGCGCTTTAAAAGTAGCTAAAAAGTAGCCACTACATTTTCTGGAAAAGTAGCTAAATTGTAGCTAGCTACAAATCTTGGGAAAGCAGCTACAAAGTAGCTAGCTACTAATTTTCACTAGCTATCCCAAACCTGCTTCTTTCACAGCAAGACAGTGCCAAGCAACGTTCTGCAGAGTGTACATGCTAGACTGGCCTGCCTGCAGCCCAATCCTGTCTCCCTTTGAAAATGTGATGCATTATATCAAGCAAGAATGAGACAAAATTCCACTTTCACCACCACAACTGGTTTCCTCAGCCATAAAAGATTACAGAATGTTGTTAAAAGGAAAGGTGATATAACACAGTGGTAAACATGCCCCTGTCTCAATTTTTTATTTAAATTTTTATTTAAATTCAAATGTGTTGCAGGTATCAAATTTAGAATGAGCATCATATATACAGGAAAAAATTAAGTTAATAAATTGAAACATTACAACACAAACAAGTAAAACAAGTCCATTATGTAGTTTTCTAAAGTATGATTCACCACAGCTGTGTGTTCTGTCATGACACCTTGGTTGTGAAGATTTATTGCAGGCACGAAAATATGTTGTACACAGAAGGGCTGGTCTGAAGAACACCACTAATCATGTCATGAAAAACATGTCTGTTTCTGAGTCATAGAATGAAGTGTCAGAAAGCCAGATTTGCTGCTCATACACTGCACGAAAACACACATTTACAGGAGTAAATGCGCATCACACATTTTCTGAACTGCTTATCCTTCTGGGTCGCAGGGGGTGCTGGAGTCTATCCCAGTAGTCATTAGGCAGAAGGCTGGATACACCCTGGACAGGTCACCAGTCCATTGCAGGACAGACATATACATTCACACCTAGGGGCAATTTAGCATGCCAAGTTGGACATTCTGCATGTCTTTGGGAGGAAACCCATGCAGGCACGGGAACATGCAAACTCCACACAGAAAGCACCCTGGCCACCCACCCAAGGAAATGAACTCAGGTCCTTCTTGCTGTGAGGGGACAGCGCTATCCACTGCACCACCGTGCCACCCACAAAATATACTACCATATTAAATTATGTAAAATATGTTGGTCTAAAGCAAAGTGCCAGTATCATATATGACATCTCCTAATATTATGTGATGTGTTATAAGCAGTAAAAAAGAATACTCATTTTCAAATGTCCATGCATGTAAGACTAATTTAATTCAGATTGTTCAATTAGTTTTTTGATGTCTAACATTAACTGGTTGCTTGTCTCTGTCATACTACTACAATAATTGGATTAGCAAACAGGTTAAACAAGTGCTTTATATAGTTTTGGACAATATGATTCACCACAGCTGTGCTTTCTGTTCTGACACCTTGGAAGATTTATTGCCGGCACGAAAATATATTGTACGCAGAGGGGCTGGTCTGAAGAACACCACTCCTACAAGTGTAGAGCTAGATACCACTGTGGTGACTGACAAGAAAGGCCATAATCATGTCATGAAAAATATGTCTGTTCCTGAGTCATAGAACGAAGTGTCAGAAAGGCATATTTGCTGCTCATACACTGCATGAAAATGTTGATTTCTGATTTCTGGAGGTAAATGCACATCAGAAATGGCTGAAAATGCTCAGTTTATGGACATATATGGCCACATTTAACGGGTATCATAGCTTCAGTATACTGCCAGGCATGTCCGGAAACAAACTATTTTTCAAACAGGAATTTACCGATAGATGGCTTATTCTCTTATTGCTTAAAAATGTTGTTCTCCATTTCATATATGACTAAAACACTAGTTCTGGCTGACCAATAAGACTGTAATTAACTATAATAATGTCTAATAATAACCACAGCTAAATACAGCTATAACTACAAATTTATTATCTATCTATAAAAGACTGTTTTTAATTATCTTTTTTCCCCTCAAAAAACACTTCATTTTAAAGTTAATTTGAAACTAAAATGAAGCGAACAAATACTAAATTAAAACACTTTTTCATTTAATTGCTAAAACTGACATAAGGACATTATTAAAAAAATATTAAAATAGATATGAGATTTATTTTAATATGGATGCCTTTACATGCCCATTAACAAACCACAAATAACCTTCGGTCTAAATTACCATACTTTAATGGTACAATTTCAATTGAGACATTGCCTAAAAATATCATCCTTTAATCTGTCAAAAAGAAGCCTTTTTAATTTTTTAATCCTTGCTGTCCTGCAAGCTGAATTTTTCAGGTACAAAAGCCCATATTCTTTGTCCAGCTGCCGCTGTAAAATGCTGCACAGCTATGTGAGCTCACTGCTATGAAATCCAAGTGGCTCCACTACATATACTGGAAACACATCCAACATCATCTTCATCATATTGACCTTGATTCTTTTCCTGTCTTTCTGATGGTCTGGACTGTGGCTTGGGCATCAAACATAAAGCAAGCAAAAAATATAACAATGTTCCTATAGAACCAGTTATTTCTGAAATCCTGAGAGCAAATCCTAAGTATGACTTAAGAAACAAACAAATCACATCTATAGTTTTACATTTAAACCTCAGTCACTATGTCACTTTAATTTAATTATACACAATGTTGCCAGTTCCTTGAACCTACACTCACTGGCCATTTTCTACACCAATGTATTAGTGTACCTTGTAGGTTTACAATTACTAACTATGGCCCATATGTTGCTACACAATTTATCAGCCACTCTCTGCCTCAACCAGAAATGGAAAGGAACTACTGCTGACCAACCATTCTCAGCACAGCAGTGACAGAAACATATAGCGTTTGATGCTGCAGTGAGTGTATTGGAAGTATTGGGATGCTGAAATGTTGGAATATTGGGGTGTTGAATCAGTTATGCTAGATCAGGAAATGAAAAAAAAAAACTCTGTAAGTGTTGGGTCTGGACTGACCTGAGGAACCCCTGCATAAGTGGTCAGTTTCTGGCAGTAGAGCTGCACTTGGCTTGATGTTTTTGGATGGTGTTCCTCTCTCAACCTATCAGTGACACTGATGCATGTAAAAACTCTGATGTGTCCGATGCACTCGTATAAACACACACACAACTCTGTCACTGCTACCTTAAAAGTATTACTTTTATAAAGAAGTTATACAGGAGCTGAGAAATCATGCAAAAATTAGCCATGTGGCAAATGATTACAACACACATTTAATAACTGGAATGGAACAATATGGATAAATGTCATAGAAATGACATTTATAATGTAACAGTACTACAGCCTACAGTGTACTATATTTCCCTAACATTAAGTGTTAACGCTTTTCTAATGTTAAGCGTTTTAGATGTAAATTGAAAGGACACCCTGAAATTGAAGGGAATCCGTATGTCAACCTATATTATTGGAACTTGTCACCAAATTGCTCAATGTCTTGGGCTAGTTAGAATAAAAATAAGTTTCTAATTAAAACTTTACTTAGTAAGGGGTAACCTAACTTACTGCTGAGCATTTCCTTCAGCTGAAAGGAGGTAACTTTACTGTGGGGTAGGTTAAACCTGTGAAAGACAAAACCATTTTTAAAGCCAACCTCCAATACACAGTTGTACACTGCTATCGTATAACATTACATGTTAAAGTATGTAACTTAACTTAGCTAGATTAAATAAAACAATTGAGGTTCCAGCAATCTGTTCTGAAAATCCTTTCTCTTAAGTGTCTTCACAGTGAAAAACTGTGAAACTTTTTTACTGTAACATGATCCAAAGGATGCTTCTGAAAAGTATGAAAATGCATGCCTATTTAAATACACATCTCGTTTGCTTATCTATATGTCATTTTATGAAAACTTCAAATACAAAAAATACTTGTATGAATATTTATATTCAACTAGAAAAGATTAATTACTACAACCATTTAAAAAAAAATCCTATTCATTTGTAGTGTCTGAAAAACGGGCTTTAAATGGAAAACAGGACAGCTCTGTTTACATTTATAACTCCCTTTGTCAGTGTCCCTTTGTCCTTTTGTCAGTGTTGTGTTGTCAGTGTTCACTCACGTTCTGTAGAAACTGTTACCAAGGAGGGCTAAGCTCCATTCAGCCTCAGTGGTGCATGCAAAACAGAGAAACAAGGTTGAAGACTTACCCATGTCAACGAGATTTTCTTCTTAAGCCATTTTAAGACCAATGTCGTTATTGAAGCCGCTATCTTGGCATAAATCCGGAAGAGTCCAATTTAAACTGGACATAAGGCTGAGTGACACGGGAGAGATATTCACCGTCCGAAACTGCTGCAGGAGCATGACGATGAACGAATTAAAAACAAAAATTGAGCTCATCGCTGGAATTCCCACCGATTTTCAGAGGCTTAGTTACTTGGACCAAGGTAGCTACAGTTTTATTCAGGCAATGGGTGCAGAAAATAAGAAATATTGTTACCTTGGCAACTCACTAATCCTAGTTCTTGATTTGATGTGCGCGATTAAGCACTTTTTCTCGATAAATGTATTTGTCGCGAATACTTCACGACTGTGTGAGTTTTTCTACATGTATGGGTTTGCTATCAACTTATTCATTTTAAACACTTCTCTCTCTCTCTTTCTGTAAGGTGATTTAATGAATGAAACAACTATCAGATTTAATTACATAATGCCTGGCGCCACGCTTTTTTTGGCTGTCTGGCCCTACAACAGCTGGCCAGAACTGGTGAAAGCAGCTGTATCTGGAGATTTACAAAGAGTGAGCTGAAGTCTAATTCTAGGCTCATTCCTCGAGTTTTTATTATATTGCTGTGAATGATGTGAGGAGTTTCCCTGCTAGAAAAAACAGCACAGACCAGCATGCCTGGTCACAAACAAAACCAGCATATGTTGTGTTTTGGATGTTGACCATGCTAGGTGACAGCTAAACTACCAACATTAAACAGCATATATCAGTACTGATGGTTTAAATACAATGTTTTTTTACTAATGGTTTTGACCTGGTCAGAGTCCAGAATTAAACCCTATAGAAAACATCTGGTCTCACAATAAACACAAACTAAACTAACTTGGCAGTGTTTTATTGTTTGAAGCCATTTATTGAAGCCATCAGTGCTGAGTTGAACAATATTGACTCTACTTTCTGCGAAAGGCTGTTTACAAATTTACCCACAAGACTTCAACATTTAAAGAAATGAAAAGGGAAAAGCTGTCCCATATTAAGATATTTTTGTTTGTTTAATTTACAGACTTCATTTGTTTAATTTATGGACTATTAATTTTCTATTAAGACCTTTGAAAGATTAATATTTTGCCATTTTGGACCATTTTTTTGCACGGGAGGGTAGACCATCTTACACCAGCAAAGTGCATGCTGGTCTGTGCTTTTTTCAGCATTGTTGTCACAAAAGAATATGGCAAAAATATTTATATTTAGTCTAAGTTTTAACATTTACATCTGATTTAAATGAACAACTTCTGTACCTTTTTCACAGTTGAAGAGTGCAGTGTTTAAGCCTGGTTCTCTCAAACCTTGGCTCTTTCACTGTCTCTTCTCAGCACTCTTTATCAGTGCACATCGTGGACATCTGGCTGCAGTCCGTTTCCTCATACAGAAAGGTGAGTGGTCTTATTAATACCAATTACTAGGGGTGACGTTTTCACATGATATGTATCATGATATTCTGACACAGACAAAATACACAAGAAGTGCCACATTTAAAAATTGCTATTAAAAACTGAGCAAAATGATTTTATTCAGTGTTTCACATATAGTGGTTTTGTTATTGCCAAGATGACTGTGACTACTAAGGATTAATTTTACTATTTCCTCCACACCCCGTCAACCCCACCCCATGTCAGGAGCTGATGTTAATGGCCGCACTCTGACAGGGAGACGTCCTTTTCATGCTGCTGCAGCCAAGGGTCACTTGCACTGTCTGCAGGAACTGTATGCAGCCGGAGCTCACTTAAACCTGTCGGACTGTGATGGCCACACAGCTTTGGATGTCGCTTGTCTTTTCGAGCAGAGGAGGAGCACGCAGCAGATCTTCTACTTACAGTGGCAGGAGCGAGCAGCTAGTGTCAGTCTGAAACGCCACTTGCATGAGACTGACCTGTTCCCCCATCAGTGCTTTGACTCAAAGCTACATACTTGGCGTCGGGGGGCTTGCAGTCAGATCTACATGGCAGAACTAAAGAAATAAGTGACTCAAGGCTTCCTAAGACTATACCAACCAGATTCCCAAAAGACACATTTGTCAGGACTGTGAAGATAACCGCCTGGTTCACCGCTGTTGTGAACAATTCTGATCCAACAAGGTTCTCTATAATGGTGTATTTCAAATAAATCTGAATGAATATGTTTATATTGTGTAAATTGTAATGATTAAATTCAAACACACACATTTTCTAAGCTGCTTATCCTTCTGGGTCGTGGGGGAAGCTGAAGCCAATCTCAGCAGTCATTGGGTGAAAGGCAGGAAACACCCTGGACAGGTCACCAGTCCATCATAGGGCAGACACACAGATATATACATCCCCACTCACACCCACACGTCTAATTGGCCTGACTGCATGTCTTTAGACTATGGGAGGAAACCCGTGCAGACACAGGGAGAACATACAAACTTCACAAAGAGAGATGGCCCTGGTTGCCTGGCTGGGAATCAAACCCAGGCCTTTCTTGCTGTGAGAAACAGCACTACTTACTGCACCACCGTGCTGCCCATGATGAAGAACACCATTCCTAAATTGATACTGAAGCTTAATTTGAGTTAACATTTGGTCAGAGTGATGGCTCAACATTCACTGAATGTTAAAAAACATTTCCTTGTGTGGTTTGAACTTGTCTTCAGCTTTCTCCTGTAAAAAAATTCATCTAGTCAGCTGTCACTATATTGTGGTTCCACTGAATGACTGAAAAATTAAAAAGATCCCTGTAGGTTGAAAGTGCATGTTCACACCTATAATTCCTGAGACTTATTCCATGTGAATCTTTTCACGCATGCACCATATGGAATTGTAATATGAGACCACACCTAAAACTTGAAGATACAGATAAATAAAGAGATAATCATTTGCTGATAAAGGGCATGTTCATACTCGTTTTCTGATGGGTCAGAAGGGCAGGGCCAACATTTAAAAGCAACCTCCACCTCTAATCCTCCACCAAAGCACATTAAGCTCTTGAGTGGAGGTTTCAACTGCTAAAAATGTCTGGCTTGTCCATTTACAAGCTTCTAAGTAAGTAAACATCTACTACAGAAGTATATCCTGTTTTTTTTAACATATTCTCAAATAGGGATGTCTTTTGAGACCATATTGTCTGTAAATTGCTTTATTTAAACATTATTTTTTGGGAAAAGTATTAATATTCATTTTTAAATTAATTATTAATTTAATCATTAAATTATTAATTAAATAATTATTCAATTCCTTTAAATCTGTCTCTTAAAAATGTCTGTCACACCTTGCTCCACTCACAAATGGTGCAGACAAGGTGCAGCTCCACTGTGAGAAAAACAACAAAGAGCACCACACTGATGACATTGCCGTGAATAGACTGCGTAGGGGGAAGCCCTTTCAGCTGACATTCCAAGTCAAACAACACTTCCAACCACAGCAGGAATTCTTTCAACTTACTGTGCAGACAGGTGTGGTACTTTATTTTGAAATGTTCATTCACAAGATTTTGCATTTGCATTGATTAGGGCCTTTGATGAATTAAAAACAAGTCTTGTTCTATAAATTCCTGGTTAGAAAATACTGTGAGTTCACCAAGACACTTCGTTGAATTACTTTTTTCTAAGACAGTGGGTCTCAATCCTGGTCCAAGGTTGTATTTACAAAGTATTTCAGAATACGAGTGCTAACCTAGGATCTGCTCCTGACAGTAACATTATCATAAATAAAGCTTAAGAATGTGATGTCATGATGCATTATACAACAGTTAGGTCCGGCCAAGCGAGCTGATTGGTTGAGAAACATTCTAAATTTGCTAAGCAACAACTTTGACAGCTGTGGGAGATGCTCAAGCCATTTGAACGTTTTTATTTCCTACTTTGCGCACAAACAGAAAATGGATACTTTTAAGATTACACTTGGCCTACAGCCGATTTGGTCAGGCTCTGAAGATGAGACTACACTAAATTCTGAAACTGTCATTACCACTGAGCAAGCTTTTCAGTCGGCAGCTGTGACAAAAGAACACCTAAACAACCTGGAATTAGCCAGAAATGAACCGAATACCACTCGCCAAACAAAATAGGCTGTAAGATGCTTTACAGACTGACTGGAACAAAACAACATTAATATTGATCTAGCAAAATATGACAACACTGAGCTAAACTTGATATTGCAGCTTAGCCCGTACTTTAAAGGCGAGGCTTACAGCATACTGTGCAGCAGAGTTCGTTACTCTGACGTAGCAACAAGCTGCTTGTTAAGGAACTATAATTTGGCGGAAGGAACTGCTAACATTAAAACATATTAAATGCCACGTTCACGGCCAATTTATTTATTTATTTCTTTATTTATTTAACTGTTGTATAAAAGCAAGTTTGTGTGTTATCGCGGATAAATCACAGCTGTGATGTTATTTCACCATAACACATGATCTCGAGTGTTCTATTGCTTAAGTGTCTTACGGCTAATCCGCTATTGTGGCATGGTTAGTTGTTCTAAGCTGGTTCTGAATTCTGAAATAAGTCTTCCTTTTCTACTGGTTTTACTTGATTTTGGCTGATATGTATCCCATGGACTCACTAAATACATTAGCAGAGCTCACTAGCATCTGGATCTACATGACAAACAGATTAAAGATCAGAGCAAAATTAAAGAAAGCAAATATTAAAAAAAAAAGTTTTTTTTTTAACTATTTGGATGCAACTCTAGCTCTAGCACATAGGAAGCATCACAGTGAGAACATCAGATGAATTTTATTTTCCAATCTTATAGATTTAGTGGAATAAAACCTTAAAAACAATTTAGTAGATTCATTATGTGTGGTGTCAGCTAACTATCTCTTCATATGCTTGTTATTTTCCAGCTAAAAGGTATGCTGTGACTAGGCTAGTAACGTTAACAGACAAGTAGCTTTTGTCTGTTTCTCTTAAAGACTTTAGATCGACTGTCCTTTCAAGCCACGTGTGATCTAATATAGCTCAGCATAGCAAGCAGTGTTTGCTAAAATGCTACAATGGAATATGCCAGGGGCTGAATGAAATATGAATAACTGAGTGAAATCTGCCAATAACTAAGTTAAGTACGTTGCAGTTCTCCCTTCCACCTGATGACCAGCTGACCAGACCTGCAGCTTCATTTAGTGAATGACATTTAGTCGACTACAGACATAAAGCTCCAACTAAACGCTGAAAACCGACGATTTTGGTGAGATGGATAACTTCTTATCAGAGCATATTCAGCAGTTCAGTAAATATTAACCCTTTAAGGTCGAACAAAAACGTGGCTACACTGCGTTTGTTTGATGTGTAAAAACCATTACCTAACAAAACCAAATATGTATAGATTTTTGTTTAGTTTCTCACAAATTGTATTTTTCAACAAATAAATATCATTTCAATAGGAATACGATTAATACCTTAAACATGATGTATTGTTACTCTTAAACAATTTTTTTCACAATAACAATCATTTATTATAAGTGCTTATTGATCCAAACTGTTCTGAATGAGCAATCCAACAATAAAAGAAGCCTCATGCATCTCATATACAGTCATAGGAAACACAGTAGCTCACAGAAAGCTCAGATTCTATGCTTGTGAATAATATGTTGGCCCTCAGGTATTTTAACACAGTACAATCTGACCCTCTTTGAAAAAAGTTTGGACACCCCTGCTCTATGGCTAAATCTGCCAGCAGCTACTTGTAAACTGTACGTGGGCTTTGAGTGACTTGAAAATTCTGAATTACTCAGAAGAACAGGCACTTACTAGGAAAAAAGTCTGAAAGAGTTGGTAATGTTAGTATATGCAGATTACTCCATTCTTTCTATGGAGGTTTGTATACATCCTAGACTAATTTTATCTATAGGCTGTTGTTTGGCATCTCTATAGAATCTTTTATTAGATTCACTTTTTAACATGAGAAGCCTAAGAAAACACAATAATACAGCACCGTTTGAACAATCCCATAAAGTAGTGCGACAAGACGTTGATACCCAAGCCCTATAGGCCACTATAGTCGTGCCTCATTCTGTAGTCCTCGTTATGCCCATATTAGGAACTCTGGGTCCAAGCTCCATTTCTCTATGGCCAGAATGAATAGGGTTTTTGAAAAATTGCCTCTATCGCACCCTGTGTTAAATAAAAATGTTCAGAACCCAATACGTTTTGTCCTTTGTATATTGTTCACCCGAACACCACCAGATCGTCCGAATTACGAGGTCGTAAAGAGCTATAATATCAATATTGCTACATGCGAGCTAAAGCTACTGCACATGAATTTGATGTCACTAAGCTACACGAAACTAAGGCGGGCAGTGCCACTGCTCTGATGAGTTGTACTACCTTATCAAAATGTTCTACCGTAGTGCATAATTACAGGTATACCTGTAAATAAAACCTCTGGGTGGGATATTTTGATAGGCTAAAACTCCTTATCAAAAAATACTACCCGTGCTAAAACTACGAGGCTGAATTTAGCTCCTTTTTTCACAGCTTCTTGTTTGAATGTTCCCGTTCCACTTTAAATGGTGCAGCAGCTGTGACTAGCTATCACAAACAAGGCAAAATACTGACCTGTTATTTCAGTGAAACAGCAAAAAAATTGTTACTCAGCTGTTAAGTGTAAATAGTGAAACCCTCTCATATCATGCCTTTCAACATGAAGCTGAAGTCAGCTTCTTTTTCGCCAGCTGCTTGTTCAGATTTTCCCGTTCCACCTTAAATGGTGCAGCAGCCACGTTATAGTTGAACAAAAAGCTGGCGAATGTCCTGAAAAAATGTCCTCAGGAAAATGTTACCAGCATTAAAATAATAATTAGGATAGCCTATGTCAGTTTATCAGGGGGTCAGCAGTGATGTTAAGATGAGTATGTACTGGATTAGCCTGAGTGCAGGTACGTTTGTAGATTTTTTTCAAAGCAAGCTAAAAGGAAAGATCTATCGTGTTTCAGTGAGCATCAGATGAAGGACAGAGAACACTAGGGAAACCTGCTTATTTTGTTCTGACTTCTTTTCATCCCTCAGTCTGTAAATGGAAATGTACACTGCCAAAACCTGCTTGAGGAGGCTGCCAGTCTAATGACGTGAATTCAGTGCGCAGTAGCTTTATCTTACATGTAGCAATATTCATATTTCAACTCTATAACGACCTTATAATTCAGAGGACCCAATGGTATTCGAGAGAAGAATGTTCATAGGACAAAATGTATCGGGTTCTGAACATTTTTATTTAACACAGGGTGCAATAGAGGCGATTATTTGAAAACCCTATTCATTTTGGCCATAGAGAAATGGAGCTTAGACCTGGAGTTCCTAATATGGGCATAAGAGTACGGCGCCGACTACAAAATGGCGACACAACTACCTTGGTCTATAAGATGGGCATCTGATCCTAGATCAGCACGGCTACTCTTAGAAGCTTTATGAATACAAGCCTTGGAGTACCACTAACCTGGAAGCATTTTCCTTGTTATTTATGTTGTTACTGGATGTGTCTTCAGTTTGTAATCTGTCATATTTAAGGGCCGGAAGAGAAGGGCACACGGTCGTCATTCGGCCTTCATGTGTGTTCTGGCATTGGCAAGCCATGGAGCGTGCGGTTGAGCACAAGCTTTATGGTGTCTGTCTGCTCTCCATCCAATGCCAGCATTGGACTCTACACACTTTCTGTGAAGACTGGACCTACCAGCACTTCATTATTCCCAATAGGAACACTGATTGTTCTGTTCAATCCCTGGTGTGAAGGTAATTGAAAGGAATTTATTATTAATCAGATTTCTGCTTTTATTTAGTACATACCTGTAGGAGTGTGGTATGTACCTACAGTATGTTGCTAAGTCCACTGGTTTACAACTAATATAGGGAAACATAGGAAAAGAAGCCCCTCTGGATAATATGTCCCCTCATGATTCTCTCACGATTAAATGATGGGGCCCAATCTAGTCTTTACAACATTTCCTGAAAAGCTATAGTGTGATTTATTGCGACTGTGGAGAGAAAAGTACATTTGGTATTGAGCAGGACAAAAATGTTTTCTTCTGGAGTAAAAATGTATAGTTAGACCTTTGGGACCTCCCCAAGACACAAAATCGTTCACTGGAGTTTCACTAAGTAGCTTTTTTTAGGTAGAATTTTTCGCTGTCTTCCATGGAGATGAATTTGTATGTGAGTCTTGCAGCTCAAAGTTACATCTTTACTGTTCAGTCATGTGCAACAGTCATTTACATTAGAAATAATAATAATAATAATAATAATAATAGAGTTAAGTGATATTAATCTGTAATTAATATACTTACAAGAACTGTTTAATTCATGAAAAAATGACATTCTATTTTACTGCCATTTGTTTTGGACTAGAAGTGGATTAATAACAATTTCTGTAAAATTCAAGAATTCACTAGAAGTGATTTGACATATAAATGATACATTCTGTAATACTGAAATGATAGTTTCACCAAAGGGGCCTGATAGTTGGGCAAAAGGCATATTTTAAAGATTTTCTTTTTTTTTTTGCTATAAAAGCAAAACTGTCTACTGTTCAGCTTATTTCCCCTATATGTGTGTAGGTTTATGTATCATCATCCTGTGCACAGATATAGTTTAACCCTTTAAAAGGCCAGGGCCCACCAGCGCGCCCAAAGATTTATTACACACTTCTATAAGCTATGACTATCTCAGACAGTTTGCATTGAAGTCCCTGTAGTTGCTGAAGAATAAGCTTTAGTATGTAATAAACCGGCAATTTTAAGGGGTTAACTTCACATTAAACAAGTGGTGTTCTGAAGTGGGGCAGTTCCCCCAATTTCCCCTACCTAAGTCACTTTGCCCTCTGCAGTCTGAATGTGTGTTTTAAATCTCTGTGCTAGATGACTGGGTGTACCTGCCTAAGGACGAAGAAAGACAGGAGTATGTAATGAGTGAACAGGGTCTGCTTTATAGAGGGAGCTGGAACTGTATTCAGACAATGGCCTGGGACTTTGGACAGGTAAGCTCATTTAGCACATTTATATAATATTTGATTTTCACTCCGTTAGTTTACATTTAAGAAAGTAAAAAACTCCAAAGGTTTTCTTTACATAAAACTGTGATTAATGAATACTTCGGATATATTTTGCAGCACTTAGATTCGTGTTCATCAAAGTGTCATAAGACTGGAAATTTAACTGGCTAAACAGCTGAAAAGTAGTGCTATTATCAGATGTTCCTTCAATGTTGCAGTTTTCGCAAAAAGAAAAATGGCATATTAAAAGCCATAGGCGTTTCTAGACCCTTTGTAGCACCCCTAAAAAAAAGAGTTTCTGTCTCTGATAAGCAAATGTTATGACCCACTTTCTCTCTCCTACACTTCCCCTGCCCCACTCTCCCCGAAGCTGTGCAGTAGTTGTGTGCTCACATACACACACACACACACACACACACGCACGAACTAGAGCCAGTTACAGCACCACCAGTCACTCAGCACCAACACATTACAATCATTAGCAGCAGTCCTCATTTTTGCTGCACTGAATCACAGATCACTCTTTATGTTGTTCTTGTTAGCTATCTGATGTTTTTTTTATCTAGCAAGCTAATGTTGCAGGTTGACAATCAAAGACCGTCCACTGTTTGAATTCAAGTGAGAGAAGCTTGCTGTTGTGCCATTTGTAGGCCTATATGTTTATATTAAAGCCAAGGTGCTAGACTAGTACTGTCTGTATGCGTATCAGCACAGATCCTAAAGCTCTGATCCTAGAATCTCCCCTGTCAAAAGCCTTCTACTTCTTCTGGAAATAGATATATGCATATGCATAAGCCATCATGTTTTCACAAAACAGAGAAATTGAAGCAGGATGTAAATGAAGCAAAACACTAAACATAAAACAAACAGAAGGAAGCACATGAGATAGCATGAAATGTAGTGAAGCAGAGTAACATACTCTGAAAGTGACACAGCATAGCAAAACAAGACCAGGCCAAGGAGGGAGAGAAACATGAGCGCTACTTATAGCAAAGATAAGACTAGAAACACATGGGAAAGGATGCGTAACAAAGTAGTAAAGACCACAGCATTGGTGGGAAAGGAAGGAGACATGGGAGGAAAGGGTGCAGTCAGCACGTGACATGTGATAATGTACATAATGTGTAAGGGTCTACACTATAAAACAAATGGCAAGAGCATTTTTTCTAGTTCATTAATCATGGTAGAAATAACTCATTTACTGAGCAAAACTATTTTTTAATTAAGCTATTAGAGCATTAAGCATTAAGACTGCTCAATATAAAGGTAGTATAAAGTATTACTTAATGTGTAAATTTTACTTGTTTTTCATTAGTTCGAAGATGACATTACTGACATTTGCCTGAAACTCCTGGATGTGAACCCAAAATGTTTAAGAAATGCGATGGAAGATTTTTCTGCACACTGCAATCCCATCTATGTTGGCCGGGTGGTGAGTGCCATGGTATGTGCCAAAGTTCTCACTGTCACCACAACAATGCCTATACAAGGGTTAACACGTATATTAAGAATAGTATGTAAAATCATAATATAACATACTATGTATAAATATTAAAGCCATCCTCACCTCTGTGTGTCTTGAGCAACACTGAATGTCTTGCATCTCATTTCTGGGCCCATGTTATGAGGTTTGTTCACACAGGTTGATTAAACAGCGCAGCAGTGTGTTCCAGACATGGTACAGAAGCAACAGTGAATATAGAGAATAGGCATCAAGTCTCACACATGCCACACCACAAAACACAATAAAATAAAACTAGGGATGCATCAATACCATTTTTTTCAGACCAAGTACGAAAACATATTTTTAGTACTCGTTGATACCAAGTCCGTTACCATACTGAGTAACCTACTTAGAATTAAGTAGCTTTTAGTGTAAATGAGTGCAATGTACCTCAACAGTTAAAACATTAAAACTAAGCTGATTTTAAATAAAGTGCATCAGGTAAGTATGTTGCATTAGTTACACTGGATTGAGTAGTGTTGCAGTGGAAAACAGCGAGCTTTGTCAGAAAAGCGCTTCTGTACAGCTGCAAGTAAGTAGTTGAATGTCCTCTGGAGCCAGACATGCACTGTGTGATTTTAGAAATCCTAGTCTTTGGTGACTCTCACTGTATGTTTGAACAAACAATTGTGTCAAAAGTGTATAATTAATATAATCACACTGTACAAAAATGTAAAATTTTAAAAACTCACTTCCTACCATTCTGAAATATTTAAAAATACACTAACACGTTTGATTAACTTTTTTATACTATGTTGTAATGGCAGAGATAATAGATCAATAAAGTACAACCATAACCATAATCATATAAACAGAAATCTATGTATTGTTATATGATGATGAGTCCAGATATTGTAACCCAGGTTGAGGAAATTTTTGTTTTTATTTACTTACGAGTACACTTGAGTGGGAAGCAGGGACATCTGCTCTGCTCTGCTCTCTTTTCATTTTCTCTTCTCAACCTATCTTATCCTCTCCAGCCCTCTCTCCTCCTCTCCTCTGGTCCTATATTCTAATCTCCTTACAAGTTATGTCTTCTGTCTTCTCATCTCCTCCCCAGGTCTCTCCACCTTCTCTTCAACAATTTCCTCTCCTCTCTAGGACTCTCCTCGTTCCTTCTCTCCATTCATCTCTTCTCTGCTCTCCATGTCTTTTTCCTCACCTCTGGTCCTAATGTCTCCTCTCCAGTCATCTATTCTCATTTCCCAAGTTTCCAATTATCTCTTTTCCTCTCATTTCTTTTTATTTATGTATATAATTGTTTTATTAATTACCTCCCTTGTATTATCTGACATACGCATGAGAAGCCATGCTTAACCAAATATCTTACATTTAAATCTTTTAAGTTAACATCAGGATTAGCCTGTTGTGATGTCATTATTTAGTCCTAACCATACATATTTGCTCCTTTTCTCATTCACCTCTATGTCACCTTCTCTCCCTACACTGTCAGCATCCTCATACTCTGAACATGAGTGAACATGAAAGAAATATTTTCAGTAAACAACTACTTGCCACGATGTTTAGTAATGGTATGACCATTTCTGATCTGACTGGCAGTAATTATATCAAGAAACACTGGCTCATCTCTCATACTACTGTATATATAGTATACATCTGACTAGTACTTATTTTCCTACTGCTCTCAACTTACTTTTCTTTTTTTCTGAGGCTGCCCAAAAAACCTGTAAATGTCACTGTCAGTCCGCTCATGATGACTCATTTGCACTTTAATCTAACTCTAATAATGCTATTTATCATAAGCAAGTACAGCTACACGGGATACTATACAAATATGTAATAAATGAAAGCTACTGCTGTCTACATGCTACACATGCCTCGCTACAATGATTGACACTTTACTGAGACTTTGTGTGTGATTTCTAACAAATATTATGTAAACACATTAATGTTAGTTGAATATGCCCGTGACCATTGTTGGTCGCTGCATGAATGTGGCTGATTAGTTTTCCAGGTAACTTAGCTATGAAAGCTAACATTAGCGATGGTTGATTGCTTAGCACTCACAAATCAGCCTGTTTTCACCAAAAATGTTTGTTTCCACTTCATACAATTTCTGACATATTATTTATTTCCGCAATTACAGTTCCAACGCAAAATGACATGTTGCTGCTGACGTTACATTTTCATATGCAAGTCAGAGACATTATAAAGACTTTGCTAAAGTGAAGTGGTGGTGCGGTGTTACAATAATAAATGTCCCATCAACAACTGATGGGAACACTGATGGATCCTAATATTACGCAAAGCTAGAGAGTGTAATATTTTTATTCGAAACATATCTGAATATTGGACGAGATGTGCCTCCCTCAATCAGTATATATTGTGATTACAGCCTTGATTCTATCTATTCAAAGAGTAAAGTTTGTACGGACTTAGATAGCAAACTTTTTCGCCTCTGTCTAGCTGGCCTCTGTGTTTCCGCGTCTTTGTGTTTGTGTGTGTTTAAAAACAGGCTAAAATCACACAGTATATTTTTGGCCAGAATACACCAGAATGTCAGTTAAAATATAGCTGTGTGAAACAGACCGTAGTTCACTGTGTTTGTTAATTTGTACAGCAGCATGTGGTTTACATGACATGGTATCAGCTGGTTTCGAAATGTTGGTATCATGAATTTTTATAAGTACAAATAAAGGGACACAGTATTGGGCATACCTGATACCAGTACTGGTATTGATACATCCCTATCTAAAACCAATGAAAACAAATCCGCGAACTGAATAAAAATGTCAAGACACAAATTTGGCAGTTAATGGCCATTATCAAACCAAAAAGTAAACTTTTTGTACATACACAGACGCATACATTTTCTAGTAGATCTAAAGGCTTGAAAACGATTGCCCAGTCACAAGTCAGAACAGCCAAGGGTAAATAACTGTATCTTTTTTTTTTATGCAGAAGTAGTCTGTGTTTCCCATGGCTACTGAATCTGAAATTCAGATATGGTCAAAAATCAGGCAACAAACTGTGATTGAAAAAATGCTCATTTGATGGTGGACAACACCGCTGAATCAAGGTAGATGCTGAATTTGAAAGGTGTAGACATGTGAAAGAGTTTAAAATGATGGCACAGTGAATAATGCAGTTGATTTCCCAATGCTGAATTAAAGGCCAATAAAACAAGCAAGATCAAGGCAAGGCAAATTCAAGATCAGATATTTACCTTGATTCAGTTCTGTGGAGACTTAATACAGAGACAGTGCAGAGTGTGTTGTTTCAGTCATTTATAGTTTCAGTGAAGTTTGCACCATCTTGCTCTGAGGTGTTGGTTTTTATATGTATGTCACTTTGCATTAACAGCCTGTGTGAGTGAGAGAGTTATATCCTCTATATTATGGCTAATGCCTTCTGCTTCTGCTGTTACCTTCTTGTTTCTCACATCCACCCTACAGATAAATATGAATGATTATGACAATGGTGTGTTAGAGGGAAGATGGGAGAACTCGTACAGTGGAGGAGTCAACCCAGTGTCATGGAGCAGCAGCGTGGACATCTTACGGCAATGGTCTAAAAATGCATGCTGTCCAGTCAAATATGGACAGTGCTGGGTGTTTGCTGCTGTTATGTATATAGGTAAAAACAGTCTCACAGATTTTGGTCTGAAATAATAATAACGTTTTTACACTACATGGACATCCCTTCTAATTAGTGTGTTTGGCTGTTTCAACCATATGCAAAATCAAGCATACAGACAGGCAATCTCCACATACAAACACTGACAGTAGAATGGGTTGTACTAAAGAGTTCAGTGACTTTCAGTGTGCCACTGTAGGATGCCAGGGTTCCAAACAAGTTAGTTTGTCCTGCTGGTGCTGCACCATTTTATTGTGAAACATCTAGGAGCAACAACAGCTCAGCTGTGTAGAAGTAGTTGTAACCTCACATTGAGATTCAGATTCATCAGACCAAGTGATGTTTTTCCAGCCCTGTTTCAATGAGTCTCTGCCCACATTCTTGTTCTTGACTGACAGGAGTGGGACTTAATGTGGTCTTCTGCTGTTGTAGCCCATCTGCCTCAAGGTTCACTGTGCTGTGTGCTCAGAGAAGACTTTCTAATGTTTTAAAAAGTGGCTATTCAAGTTATTGTAGCCTTCCTGTCAGCTTGAAGTCGAGTAGAGCATCAGACACCACTGCTGAGCTGTTTTGTTTTTAGCCCAACTGGGAAATACAGCTGTGTTTTTACCTTTTTAGGCTTTGTTTTGGTTTAGGTACATTTTTATCCGTCAGAGCTCCCTGCATTGACTACCCTAAACTACGGACTACGGGCTGCTTATTTTATTTTAACCTACAAGCTGTTTTGGGGCCATGCCTCCCTTCAGCTCTTCATCTGGATGTGATGGCCATCGAGCCATGGTCCATTACAGGTGGGGGTTTGTGTGGTTGTAGGCGCTCTGGCCACCACCCGATTCCACAAAAGCTCCACCTGAGCAACAGATTCTCTGTGTTGGAAGAGCTGGAAGACACCACTCCTGCTGACAAACAGTCATTAGTGCAGAACATCCAAGTGAGCTTTCCAGCCATAAACTTTACCCCTGCTCCATCCTGGAACCCCTATGTACAGCAGACCCGCCACTCCACCTCTCAGCTGGACAAGAACTGCTGCCTACCTCCCCAGGCCATCTACACCTCCACCTCTACACGGCCACCATGCCGAGCTCCCTCACAGCTCCTGACCGCCGCTCCCCACCCCGGGATTTTGCTGTGCTGACCCCTTGTCTCCCACCACTGGTTACCGAGCCACGAACCCATTGTCTATCCCCACCTCTGCCTTGACCAACCCACAACCCTCTTCCATCCACGCTCATAGTAGGTGACTCAATTGTTGGAAACGTTAAGCACCATACAGCCGTAGTTCACTCTATCTCTGGAGTCTCTGACATTACACAGCAGCTCCCCAGTCTTCTAAAGAAATATGACTCAGTGAAGAAGATGTGAGATGTAATGATATCTGAAATCAGAACAAAGAACTGCTAAAAAAGGACTTTATGAGCTTGTTATCTTCTATAAAAGACTGTGGTAAATGTGTTTTTATCTCTGGACCAATTCTGTCACTGGGAAGAGGTTCAGGACATTTTAGCTGCATTTTAAACCTTCACACCTGGCTCCAAAAAACCTGTTTCTACAAAGACTTGCCTTTTATTGACAATTTTGACCTTTTCTGGAACCAGCCTTCTTTTTACAGAGTTGATGGGATTAATCCCAATAGGCTGGGTTCACAGATTTTAGGCCACAACATATTTTACTCTGTCTTTAACTCCACATGACTAATACATACCTCAAACTCGTACACAAATATTTCCGTAGTTTTGGGTAGAACACCCAGTAGTAGTTCTTGATCAAAATCCATAAGAAGTATTAAAGAAGCAAAAGAATTTTAAAGGTTTTATTACTTTACACTCCTAAGACAACCCAGCAGTACACCCTGTAACAGATCTTGAGAGTTTTAAAAACAGAAAAGGTTTAGGCATAATTCATCTTAACGTTAGAAGCCTACTTCAAAAAGATAAAATGGATCAACTCAAAATCCTAATTGCACAATCTGATCCATATATTTTAATACTAACAGAGACTTGACTTAGACAATCTGTAAGTGCTGAAAACGTGGCCTTAAATAATTTGAATCTTTATAGAATAAAGAGAGAAGCATGAGGAGGCGGAGCAGCTATTTATATAAGAGTAAATATGCAAGCCAATTTATCACCTGCAGTCTCCAAAGAAAAATACTTCGAGTTCCTAGCTCTGAAAGTGTCCCTTGGAAAAAATAACTCTTATTTTAGCTGGGATATACAGGCCTCCCTCTGCTCCGTCTACTGCACTTGATGAAATAGCCAATCTTTTATCACAATATACTGTTTCTGAAATGCTGGTCCTAGGGGATTTAAATCTTAACTGGCTTACTAATGCATCCGATTACTTAAAGGAAATATGTGGAAATCTTACCCTCACAGAATTAGTCATGGAATCAATGTGCCCAAATCTGAAGGATTCCACCAAATCTACCCTGATAGACTTAAATCTGTTCAATAAAATGGACAAAATTATTGCCTAAGGAGTATTTGACCTTGGCCTTGGTGACCACTGCCCCATCAGATGCATTAGAAACAGTTGCAAGAACAAAAACAGGCTCTTGGATGATGATTAGAGATTTTAAACATTTTAACGAACAAGGTTTTCTATATGACTTAGCAATGAGTGAAATTCACCTTACACTGAAAGGTCCAGATGTTGACTTGGCATTAAATGATTTTAGCAAAGAATTTACAATGGTGGTAAACAAACATGCCCCCCACAAAAAGCAAAGAATAAGAGACAGATCAAGTACCTGGTAGACTAGTGAGGTTTCCTCATTGTTTAAAGGTATATATATATATAGATATATATATATATATATATATATAATATATATATATATATATATATATATATATATATATATAATAAACTTGCTGCCTATGCCTCAGACTGCAACCTACACTGAAAAAAATGGTACTTTGGACAAACTTTAAAATAATTACTCTAATTTGTTACACCTAAATTTATTAGTTTTTCTCAAATTATATTTATGATTTAGTTGAAGTCTTACATTTGATTTAGTATCAATCAAAATACTTCTTTCCCCAAAGACAAAAAATTACTTTCAAACAAAGTAAAAAGATTATTTGTTATAAAGAACATACACTGTTTTTTTCACTTTGTAACAACTTATCTTTTTATTTTGGAAAAACCTAATATTTACTATTACATCCAAGTATAGTTTTTACTTTAGAATAAAGTAATTAAAATACTCTAATTTGTTACTGTTCTAATTTGTTTCTCAAGTTAATTTTCTGATTCAGTATAAACTAAAATTTCTAATTATACCTTAAATCAATATATTTTATTTAGTCACAAGCCTAAAACATACTAAAGGCATACCAATAATATTTTTTTCTTTCTTGAGACTTTTTTTTCCCCACAAACAAAAGCTACATTCGCTTTGATTTGAAAGTAGAATTTTCACTTTAGATAAAACTAAAACAAGTTTGCTAGTCAATGTTTGATTTACAACAAATAGACAATAATATTCTCTCCAAAAGACCAAAATGTTTATTTTGATGTCTTAACACATGCCTTTTCTGTAGGCACAAAAAAATAAAAACACCAAAAAAAATAAAATAAATAAAATATTAATACCATAATAAAAAATGAATATTTGTTTCATCAAAACATAAACAAAACATACTAAATATCAAACATCAACAAAACATTCTAAATATAAGATGAAGTAAATTATGGCATTTTCAATATGTTTTTTCTTTTAAACTTTTGCACCCTTTCTGTAACCTTAACCATTTACACCGACTGGCCACTTCATTAAAACCACCACCTTGTTTCTACGCTCATTGTCCATTTTATCGGCTCCACTTACTATATAGGTGCACTTTATAGTTCTACAATTACAGACTGTAGTCCATCTGTTTCTCTGCATACTTTGTTAGCCCCCTTTCACCCTGTTTTTCAGTGGTCAACACCCCCATGGACCCTCACAGAGCAGGTATTTGGGTGGTGGGTCATTCTCAGCACTACAGTAACACTGACATGGTGGTGGCATGTTAGTGTGTGTTGCGCTGGTCTGAGTGGATCAGACACAGCAGTGCTGCTGGAGTTTTTAAACACTGTGTCCACTCACTGTCCACTCTATTAGACACTCCTACCTTGTTGGTCCACCTTGTAGATATAAAGTCAGAGATGATAGCTCATCTGCTGCTGCACAGTTTGTGTTGGTCATCCTCTAGTCCTTCATCAGTGGTCACAGGATGCTGCCCATAGGACACTGCCCACAGGATGCTGTTGGCTGGACATTTGTTTGGTGGACTATTCTCCATCCAGTAGTGACACTGAAGTGTTTAAAAACTCCAGCAGCTCTGCTGTGTCCTGACCATTGAAGAACAGGGTAACAAAGTATACAGAGAAACAGATGGACTACAGTCTGTAAATGTAGAACTACAAATGCTCCTATATGGTATGTGGAGCTGATAAAACGGACGATGAATGTAGATACGAGGGGGTGGTAATATTGACATGGTCGGCCGGTGTTACATGTAAAACTGGTTTGTACACCTTCGAAACTTGAGATGTACTCCAACAGCCATTAAGAAGTGCAAAAATAGTGTATACCTGTTAAACTTGGCTATCCTTTGGTGAACAGAAGAGAATGTGTGAATGTCACATTACAAAGTGCAATCAAAAGATTAAACGAACCATGGAAAAGCAGTTCAATTGCTGAGAGTGCAATCTATGAACAAAGGCTAGTATTACTGAAATGCTGGTTATTGTGAATATAGCATATTCACATTTTCAATGTTATTTTCAGTGCCACAATATTTCTACCACAGAAAGAATTCTGTTAACAATGACACGTTCCATGTTTCCTGGAAGGTATTTGAATACATGCAATACAACAGAACAAAACATATCAAAGATATATCAAAGATTTAAAGCTTGGCACGAAGACTGCACACTCTGCGTGTCATTTTCTTTGGTTCTATCTCCATGAATATTTTCTGCAGTGCATCGAAAGAGTATTTGAGCTCACCTGGCTAGCTCAAGTTTACAGCATAGATGAGGCCAAACAACATGGCACATGCATGTGCGACTGACGGTAACTCACTCATTAAGGACTTCCACACCTTCAATTACAAACCCAATTTCATGTGGTGGTTGGAGAGGATTCTCATCCTCCCTGATGACAAACACTGCCATTGTACACCTCTCAAGCTCTGTTTCAGCTTCATTCTTCTGAGAAACCTGATAAAAGAGAAGACATTTACTACAAAGTTATTTTGATGGAGCAGCGGTCTAAGCATTGACCCCATCATCAGGAGATTACGGGTTCAATCCCTGGTGATGCTTCAGCCATCCACGGCTGAAGAGAGGGAGCACAATTGGCCTGTCTCAGGGAAGGTGAGATGGGCCCCCATCTCCCCTCATCACACAAGTCCAAATATTCTGTGTGATGCGTGCACTGTGCGGCCCCTGTACATTATCCCCCCCTTCATGCTCTACAGTTAGACTTACCTGTCTGTGGGGGAGGGGTGCCACGAGTGAATGCGTGCGTGCAGAATGTGATTAACACTAAACACAAAGAACTGCAACCCAGCAGCCACCAGACAATATGATGAAGAGGACGAAAAATGGCAAAAAGACAGAGGTAATGTGATGTGATGAATGCATACAAAAGTTGCTTATTTCAGTTTTCAGTTCCACCTTAAACAGAGCACATGTTCTACCAAAGGGCATCCGAATAAAACTTCTGCGCTACTTAAGGTAGAACGGAAAAATTAAACTAAGCACTAAATACACCAAAAATACAAATAAAAGCTAACAAACTAATAAGCACTAATATTTATATATAACCATTTCATTTGGTTTTGTTTTGTAGCACCGTTGTGAATAGAGGTTGTTGGCTTGGGTTCCACCTTAAACTTTATTACTGAATAGAATGTGTTTTTCCACACTCAGAGAGTGTAAACTCTTGTACCTTCCACAACACCAGCTAAAGGAAGTTTTTCTTTCAACTCATAAGAAAATAAACTAACAATTCCACCTTAAACAGCATTTGAGATATGGCTAAATCTTACGTCTCCCTGTTCCCTATTTAGTGTATGTTGTAAAGTGATGATTTAACAGATTTTTTAATTATGCAAATTTGTTCTTATTTAAGTTTGCATATGGTCATTTTACACTGTTTATTTTATTACAATTATTTAAAAGAAATTGTGTTTCAGACTTATTTGATTTGATGTTTCTATGTGCTATGTCTATTTCAAGTCTATTTCTAAGTCTTTTTACTAGATACTTTCTTACTTTTACTTAAGTAATAATTTAAATGACTACTTCTACTTGAGTTTATACTTGGTTAATTATTATTTTAAAGTAACAGTACTTCTACCTGAGTACAGTTTTTGGCTACTCTACCCATCTCTGATCTGTTGCATAGTAATAGTTACAGTGAAACATTCAGAGCAAAGTTGTCAGCTAGATAATGTTCGCTAATTTAATAAATAGCTAGCAAGAGTTAGCGTCAGTTACTCCCACGCTGAATTCATTACGGAAAGTTGGAAAGACTATTCAGGTGTTTGGAAAATAACCTACATAAAAGTGTATTTGCATTTAATTTATTGACATAGTTATGTTTGTTGTCAGTTTTTTCTACAGCAGGAAAGCAACACCTTTTAAGGCGAGTAGATATTAATTTTTTCAGAGCATTTATACTTGTAACTCCTACTGGAGGTATCATTATTTGTCTCCATAAACCTTTTGAACGTACAATTCTGAAAACTGATTGAAAAACACTGACTTCCTTATTTGGGACGATAACTGCAAACATTATCGTTTAAGTTGAATATCTGATATTTTATAGACATTTAAAACTGCACTGGCTACTTAACATTTTACTTATTTATTGCAAATTAACTTATTTTAATTTGAGGTTGTGTCAATTCTTGAGATGTGAAAAATTTTAAATGTAACAAATATGAAGTGAACCCAACATTTAATTTTCACATTCACACGTAATATCCGCTACATTCCAAATAGGGATGCACGATTGGAACTGCCAATTTTTTGCTCCAAACACACAATCAGTAAAAACAGCCAATTTATTATTCTGATCTTGGCAGATTTTTTTTTTTTAGCAGTTTAATGATGTGAATAATATGAAACCAGAAAGTGAAGATGTGCTGAATTTGAATGCTGCTTCTACAACTAAAACCATGTTATTTAAATAGGCAACTAGGGTTTATTTTATACTTTAAAACGGCAGTTTGGTTAAAGAGCAAATAATGTCAGATGTGTTACAACTTTGGCTAATACAAAGTACTGAAAACGAGCTAGTGAGTTTTATGTCTTCACTTTGTGCATAAATGAGAGTTCAAAGTTTGTCATTCCTATTTAAACATACATGCAAATGTTCACAGCTGTTCATTTTGGAACTTACCAAATTCAGCAATATGGCTACAATTGTGACATTTTCAGCAAAGAAGCGTGAACCTGTAAACACAGATAAAGGTGAGATTTCACATATAGTTTTGTTGTTGTTGTTAGCACAGTTAGCAAAATCCATTATTGTCACTACAGACTAATTTATTAACTAGGCCTTAGACACACTGATAGTATTGCACAAATTATACTGACAGAAGTAATACTGTAAAATAAATTCTTCCTTAATCAGTACTCACTGTCTACTACTTCATCCACTCATTATTTTTATTATGCATAAGAATAATATTATTCATGAGTGAGTTCATAATACTTATTTGCAAAATACGAAAACAGTCTATAAACTAATGGTTAGTTGTCCATCCTGCCACTAAACATAAATGAAAACGCGTTCCCCTTAAACAAAAGATACAATGCATCACTTATGCGAAGCACCGAAGCGCAATTCTCAATTGTAAGTCGGCCCTCAATATCCAGGACGGTTAACGACGCAGGACCTCCACAAAAGTGGAAAAACTCGAATATCTCTAGGCCCCCAAAACCTTAATGTCGTCTCTTCATAATGCTGACCACATGCACTACCCAAAAACATTTTGTAAAACCAAGTCAAAGAGCGTGGCGTCACATATCTAAACGCATTTACTCCATAATACATAAAATGCACGCATTTATGACACACCAAACCTTTTTCGTTTTCTTTAGCTAGCTAGCTACGTTTCCAGCCTATGCGTTATAAGATTGTCTGCAGTACGTCGCAATCTCCCAAAAATCACATTTAATTATTGACGGCAAACCCGTAGCTAAATCTGCAAAAGTTAAACCAGCAAAGGTCGAGTTTCGACTGTTATATTATAAGGAAAGTAGGCACAGCAATCTTGGGAAGCCTACAAATTCGTAGCTAGCTAACGTTACATTACGTTTTTTTTTTTAATAACCTGGTTTAGCTAGCGTTAGCTAGCTAGCAAGCTAACTCGTAAGCAAAACGCAAAAACAGTCTGCAAAGTACCAATTAGCCGTCTATCCTGCTACTAACCATAATTTTACATGTACAGCACATATTCTCCTAAAAAACAGACGCTCGAATCCTTACCTTTAAGAGTCGCCATCTACAACAGAAAAGCTGCACTTTCTGAACGAAGTAATGGCGGACAGCAAAACTCGACCAGGAGTGATATGACGTCATGAGGTCACGTGACATCAAAACGTCTGGCTTAAAGTAAAAATATTATTTCAATAAAATTATTTCTTTTAAGTTTTTTGGGGGGGGATGTCATTTGCTTTTGGGCAAACTGAACAAACAGGTTTGAACTGGAAATCATGATTTTCAATTACACCAATATAAAAATACACTTTAAATAAATGACATGGTTGTTTCACTTTTTTCAGTGTATATGCAGATGACACAGTTTTATACTGTTCAGCTGACTCTGTGTCCGATAAGAAAACTAAGTTCATGCTGTTTTCCAAATCTACTAATATTGATTTTAATACTGTAAAATCACTACCCTGGCAGGATCCAACACTGAAAGAGTCACAGAGTATAAATACCTTGGCATATGGCTGGATGATAAACTCACTTTTAAAACCAATATTAATAAATTGGTTGGCAAATGTTGACAGAAGCTTTAGTTATATATGTAGAAATAAATCCTGTTTCCCCATCTATGCAAGAAAAAGAACTGTTGAGGCAATCTTACTATTTGTCATGGACTATGGTGATGTAATTTACAAACATGCATCTGCCAGTTCCCTCAAACCACTGGACTCAGTCTGTCACTCTGCACTGAGGTTCATTGCTGGAGACCTGTATAACACTAATCACTGCAGACTGTTTGAAAAAGTTGGCTGGCCCTCACTAGTAGCACAGTGGGAAACACGTTGGTTTATTTTTATTCATAAAACACTCTCCAGCCATATGCCAACATATATTACTTTAATGATGTCTATAAATAATGGTAATTATCAGACTCGCTCCAGTGGTTGGATCACATGCCAGGTACCGAGAGATTTTACTGAACTGGGAATATCTGCTTTTAGTTACAGTGCACCAGCAAGCTGGAACTCACTACAGGAAACACTAAAGCTCAGCTCGCTGGTGTCACTCGGTCATTTTAAACGTTTACTTTCCAACCACCTCCACTCTGCCTGCAACTGTTTTACTTGATTTTTACTATTATTGTCTTATTTTTATAATTTTAGCTAGTTTATTTTACTTTATATATTTTCTTATTTATTTTTTTCCTCATTTATTTATCTGTTTATTATTATTCACATTTTGAATTTTGTTTTAATTATGATTATTTTATTAATATTTTAGTCATTTTAATTCATTTTAGTTTCCTTTTTTGATCTTATCCTCCTTTTGCTTTATTTATCTTCTTTTGATTTTATTAACTTTAACGTTTTAGTTAAGCTTTAATTATTGTTCTTTTTTTTGTCATTTATTATTAATATTTCATTTTATACTTAACTGATTTGAGTCATTTTTATTATTAAATTTACTTTTATTATTTGATATGTTCTTACACATTGTCAATCCCCTTTCCCTGTATTAACTGGGCAACATTGTAAATGAGCATCACCCTCAATGTTCTCCGTGTTTAAAGGGGAATTCCCCAGATTTTGCAAAATTACTTAACTATTCAAAGGTTTAGACGAAACAAAATCATTCAGAGTGGTTTGGTGTGAAATGCCCCAGACAACAAATGTACACTGCGCCTGATTAGGGCCAAATGTAGTGCTGTATCCGGTCCGGATCCGCAAAGCAGAGCTGGCCCGGTGTCTTTTTGCACAACGGCCCAATACTGGAACTGATCCATTTTACGGATCTGCGCCAAAACAGATTAAAAACCGGCCCAGATGAGCAAAGAACAGCGTTACATCCGGCCCTGAACTGGTGCAGGTCTAAATATTCTCTTCATATCTGGCCCAAATGTGGCACGGACCCAGTTCAGAAGAGGTCCAAGCTCAAGTTGATATAAGCAGCTGTCTCTGGAACTGATCCTGCCCTGACTTGTTGCATCTGCACCGGATCCGTTCCAGAGTCAGCAACAGCTCCATATCCCACATAATTATTCACAAATCATTAATAAGGAATGTTTTCAAAAAAAGGTAAATTCAAAAGGGAAACATAAAACCAAATACCTCAAAAAAAGGTTTATTGAATGTCATTGTTTTCAACACAGCATTTTTTTGAAAAATTAATTCAAACAAGAAAACAATATAATGCCAGTACTGAGGTGTAGACTTATCAGCAAAAAATCCTGCCATTAAAGAAACGATAATTAGCTGCTTTGTTTTCAGTTGTAATAAACTGACATACAAAACAGACTTTAACACGGATAGAGATTGCTAAACTCTGCTCATGTCATCACAATAATAAAGGTTAACTGGCAATTTGAACACAAAATACTACCATGCTGAGTTTTACAATGTCAAATTAAGTAGTGTGACCATTGAGAAGTGACATTTGTATAAAACAATACAATATTAAATTCTACAATATAAAATAATACCAGCCAATATTGTTAAGTGTTAACATAATTTCCAGCCTCTTAACAATCATTACTGGTATCAGTCACAGTTTTCATATTGGTTGGGCTCTAATCCATGTTCTGGAATTCATCCAGTACCTGCTTTAGCCAACCCTACATTAAACTGAACCAAGTGTGCTGCTGATGAAATTGAACAAATCCATGCAATGGCTGGTGCTGCAGCAAGAAAGCAGGAACAAAACCTATGTTTTTAACTCTATTCCTCTATCTAACATATTAATAACTTTATTTAAAACAGGGCTGTCACTATCGATTATTTTAGTAATTGAATAATCTAGCGTTTATTTAGATTTTTGGATGCACACTGAAATCGTAATAGCCATTACAATTACAACACTGAAAATATATGATAAGAATGGGTCCGCTGCCAGAGGAGCACTGGCGCTACTGTCCAATTAAGAGTCTGACCAATTCATTGGTTGGCCCAAATCAGCCAATATTTGCAGCCCACAGTTTTATTGAGGTCATGACCTCTCAAAGGTTGGGTGAAACTTTAGAAGAAGAATGTTCACCCTATAGCAGACATGGAGGAAGTTGGATCTAAAGAAGTGGTGAAAAAGGTTGGTTCCAGAGGAAAACAACAGAGGCCAGTCTAGATAAAGTGGGAGGCTGGCTCACCATCAGGGCCTTACGGAGAGGTGAAAGAGGCTGGCCCTGGGAGAGAGATGTAGGAGGCTGACTCTTGCGGACAGGTGTAGGAGGCTGGCCCTGGCGGGGAGAGGTGTAGGAGGCTGACTCTTGCGGACAGGTGTAGGAGGCTGGCCCTGGCGGAAAGGTGTAGGAGGCTGGCCCTGGCGGGGAGAGGTGTAGGAGGCTGACTCTTGCAGACAGGTGCAGGAGGCTGGCCCTGGCGGAGAGGTGTAGGAGGCTGGCCTTGGCGGGGAGAGGTGTAGGAGGCTGGCCCTGGCGGGGAGAGGTGTAGGAGGCTGGCCCTGGTGGGGAAAGGTGTAGGAGGCTGGCCCTGGCAGGGAAAGGTGTAGGAGGCTGGCCCTGGCGGGGAAAGGTGTAGGAGGCTGGCCCTGGCGGGGAGAGGTGTAGGAGGCTGGCCCTGGCGGAGAGGTGTAGGAGGCTGGCCCTGGAGGAGAGGTAAAATTTGTTTGAACTTAAAGACAATCAAAGAGAAGACTCTAACGGTAATTTGTTTTAACAGAACTAAAATTGTCTGTACTCCTCTACCATTAAGCTTATTTGATTGTCAAATTGAATAAAATATTTAAAAATAAATTAAACAATAAACAAATGTAATAATTTGTGATACCTGATCACATATGTGCAGATATTGAAAGTAATGGTTAACTTACCTCAAAGTCAGCAGCAAACTTTACAAACCAATACCAAGACTGTAGACCGCTGAGCAGGAAAAAAGAAAGGGGAATGTTTTTTTTAATTAGGCGCGTCCGTTTTATATATCGGGCCTTGGCCTGAGCCCGGTAAGAGTTACCGAGCTACCGCAGTAATAGCCCATAAAACACGTTCTTTTATTGGTTTATTTAATGCAAACCATAGCGTGAAACAGTATTCCGACAGGTCAACATGACTGAGCTGCGATAGTTAAACGTGCTCGGTGCTGCATGTATGTTTAAAAAAAACGGCTGCGTTACTGTGACCGTTTTAGGACCACCTCAGACCACCATGGCCATGTCTCAGCTTTCACACACCACATCGGACGGTAAAGTTTGTGTGACATTCGTAGTTACGTTCTGTGTTATTAGATTAATTACACTTTCGTGGCCAAATTAAAGATGACAAACACAACAAACCCAGTTTGTACTGAACACCATTCTTTTCTTGTTCTTTTTTCTATTCTTTTATTTTTGCCAAAAGGTTCAACTCACGCTATCGCTGTGCTTGCCCGCGTCTGCTACAGAGCCAGAGATCGTCTCAAAATTACAGGACTGAACAAGTGAAGCTATTATTATTACTACTAGTAGTAGCAGCTTTAGTATCTCTGTAAATAGCTCTGCTGATGCTTTTGAACATATCAACAGATGTACACACAGAGACAATAATAATAACGCTAGTAATGATAGCAGAAACACTTTCTTTTCGTAATTTTGAATATTTTGAGACTGGCCCTGAGTCCGAAGCGGCCGCGGGAGCAGCAGTGTGGGAGTTGAAGCCTCGTCAAATAAAAGATTAAGCAAAGGGAAACCCGTTCTGTTTCTGAGGGTTATTTTACACACTTTTAACCAAATACGAGGACTGTGTTAGCGGTATATACACTATAAAAAAGCAAATAAAAAATAAGATGGTTAAACTAACGTTAGTGCTTGCACTGGCTAATACAGCTTAGCTAGCTAACGTTAGCTATATGTGGGGGGGGGGCGGTGCTGTCTGGGGCACCTTTCTAGAGAAATTTACCGAGTCAGAATTGTTCACCATTATAATACTAGAAACCAAATTTCCGAAGCATTTAATGGCTCTAAAAGCTACATCCCATTAAGTTATTACACAAAATGGTATAAATGCTTTGCTTGATACCTGAGACATTGTTTTGCGATAACTTTGTTATGAAGTTTTGGCCTAAAACATATTTTTAATATAAACTATTACTACAAGATTACTTTCCTTTCAAAACCGCATTCTCAACTGAGATCAACGTGCGCGAGGTAAGGTGCTTCTGTAGTTACTAGCCTGAAGCTACAGCCGTTCAGCACGTCTAACGCCGGTGTTGTAATTCGATTCAGTTCCCCCTTAAATTCTTTGACAAATCAGGTCCTCGGGCACGCGCATTCACTGAACAGATAACAGCGCCAAGCAACACTGGAACTACGGCAAATGAAAAGGTTCATATGGGGCTCCTTAGGTTCAAAAAGGTTTGCACTGCAGCTGCATTCACCCAATCGGCGACGAACAGTACAAAAAGTACCGACAGCCAACAACAAACAACTTGCTACTCTGCTCACCAGTTAATAGGGTAGGACGGTGAGGTGACTGCGATCTAAAGCAGCTCCTCTGATGAGTAACGTTTTCCACATAAACTATGAGTTTTGCTGTCACCGTGCATCGCCACGCCGCCAAACCAAACCACAAAAAAAGGCATGCACAGCTGAGAGGTACATACAGGGCGTTGCAAAGAAAAAATAGTATCCAAAAACGTATTTTTTCGAATTTAACACTATTTTACCATTATCAGTGTGACATCTAAAACCTTATAAGACGCATGTAAGTTCACTGGGCATTTTGGATAACGGATAAAACGATGATATTTATAGTTTTGACATACGGACGTCTGGTTCCTAGTACTAGCGCAGTTCACACCAAACCACTCTGAATGTTTTTGTTTACATCTAAACAGATGAATGATCAAGTAATTTTGCCAAATCAGTTGAGTTCCCCTTTAAATGAATTGCGCTGCTGGATAATTGCATGACTGAGCAGGTGTACAGGTGTTCCTAATAAAGTGGCTGGTGAGTGTATGTTCCTTGACCGAATAAAGTACGTTAAGATGCCACAGGCCAACAGTCATTGTTCAGTGGCTAGTTTTTACATTTACATCGGCCATAGTCCATAGTCATTTTGTAGGCCAGTTATTGCTATAAGTTAACATATTTGCAAACACAAATTCTTTATTGAAAGCACTGACAAAGCTGGCTGTTACAAATGCTACAGTTATGAAGCATTGCGTAAGGAAGTTGGACTATGTATTGATGCACCATAAATAATTGCCCAGAACTGTAGTTTAGACAAGAAAGTACAACCATCACTAGCAGTGCATTTGTAGCAGTAATTCAGACCTTTATTTCATGTTTTTCCAATTGTCCAGTAACCAACATTTTCAAATCCAGTAATACTTTTTTTGTGCCTTTTTAGTGCTGCGGTGTTTAGGCATTCCATGCCGTGTCATCACCAACTTTGAATCAGCTCATGACACTAATACCAACCTCCTCGTTTATATGTACATGAATGAATATGGAGTTGAGGATGGGGAAGACAGCGTGTGGTGAGTGTTTTATGCAGAGCTCTACAAGTGCAAAAAGCAAACATTAAGGAGTTCAAGCTTCTCTCATTACCACAGTTTATGATACATAAACTTAACATTCATGTTTCTACGCAGGAACTTCCATGTTTGGGTGGAGGCTTGGATGAAGCGCCCCGATATCTCTGACAAATCTGTCTATCATGATTGGTTGGCAGGTCCTGGATCCAACGCCACAGGAGAAGAGTGAAGGTACAGCTCACTTTAAGTCTTCAAGTTAGTGCCTTAATGCAGTATGTAGACTATTATAAAGCCTCATAAAAGTAAAAGCACTGAAAGAAACACAGAGACATCTATGTTTGGTATAGTTTTGGTAAAATTAAGCAGTGAATATTAGTAACGTTACTGATTGCAAACCACCTGTGAAAGAACAGTGCTTTGAACTTTTCCTGTCTTTGAACTGTTCATGTAACATCTTAGTGTGGTAACACTTTATTTGAATGGTCCACTGTAGATGCCTTGAAGACACTCAGTCTATCTTAAACTGACATTCAACAAAATATCTATGTGTAACTGAAAAAGTTGCGTGTGAAAGATTCTATTAAATCATTCCCTAATCCTAACCCTAACCTCAAGGTAAAACACCTAAATCTCAACCTAATCTTAACCTTAATGCTGTTAATAATCAGCTGAGTATCACCAGAAAGATTCTTAAGAATATAAGCATCTATAGATCTATAGGGGACCAACCAAATAAAGTGTGACCCTTAATGAGCATGTTGTGCTTTTTGTTAACTTTCTCAGAGAAACAGAAACCGATTTCTCTCAGTCAAGCACTGACTGATATGGCAATAATGTATTGAAACTTCAAGCTTAATATAAGTATAAATTAAATTCTCTCAATGTAGGTGTGTACTGCTGTGGTCCAGCTCCAGTGAAGGCCATCCTTTCGTGCCTTTCGTGTTTGCAGGTCAGTGCAGACATAGTGAAATGGATAGTGAGGTCTGATGGCTCCAAGAAAAAGATCTGGACAGATACATCCTCTGTTGGACAGTTTATCAGCACAAAGGCTGTGGGAAGCGACAAGAGGTTGGACATCACCAATCAATACAAATATCCAGGTTAGTCTGTAAATTATGATAGACGGAGATACAGGGGTTACTGTATTTCCAAAACCTAGTGAAGTTTGGGAAAGGTGATTGGCTACAGCACTTCTTACTTGGGTGCATTTTGATGGCACCTCCTTATTTTTGTATGAGATAAAAAATTACTTTGCAGTTGTCCTTGGTAATACCTGTCAAATGAAAAGCTTCTACTGCTTCTGATGTCTATGGTTGATAAATTCAAACCAAATCAATATTCAGTTCAATTCAGTACCAATATAAATAAACTTATTTATTCAGTATCGTTATTAATGCTGTTACCTGCGCCTCCTTGTACATTCATTATTGCACTGCCTTTTTTATCTCGGGTTATAGATCTTATTGCATATTTTTGTATATTTCTATTTGTATATATGCCTGTAGATATATTTTTTGTATATATTCTTCTTTTTATATTGTATCACCCTTATTATTATAACTGTCCTGTGTTGTGTGACTGCTACTGGCTGCTAAATGTCCCTCGGGATCAAGAAAGTATCTATCTATCTATCTATCTATCTATCTATCTATCTATCTATACAGGGGTACAGTATAATGAAAACAGGTGCTTCTCTGGTGCATGAACATTAAGACAGGGACATGAGGGCACATGTACTAGTTGGCTGACAGACAGTATGTATACACAAAATAAATACAAAAAAACAACAAATAGACAGTACAATGAATAGATAATAGACAATAATGAAAGAAAAAAATAGAGACATGGGTGTACTGGTGCATAGAAAAGATTAGCCTATTTCAGTGGTCATTGAGCAGAAGGCAGGAAACACCTTGGACAGGTCGCCAGTCCATCGCAGGGCAGACACACAGACCTGTAGATGTGGCAGAGGAGCTGATGTGGCAGATTGACTCTCCTCAGCTTCCTAAGGAAATGATGGTGTTGTTGGGCCTTTTTGATGAGGTGTGACGTGTTGAGTGACGAGATGCGATCCTTGGCTATATGTACTCCGAGGAATTTAAAGCAGTTCTCTCTTTTCACCATGGTCCCCTCAATGCTCAGAGGTGTGTGCACTCTGCTCCTCTTCCAGAAATCAACAATCATCTCTTTGGTTTTGTTTACACTGAGGGAGAGATTTTTATCTGTGCACAACTCTGTGAGAAGTTTCACCTCTTCCTTATTTGCTTCCTCATTGTTGATGTTGCTGTTGTTGTTACTGTTGTACCTCCAGATGGTTCAGTGCAGTGTGCATTGCTAGGGTTACTGCATCTTCAGTGGATTTGTTCACACGATAGGTGAACTGATGAAAATCCAAAGTTCTGAGGGAGGCAGTTCTTAACAACGGTCAAGACCAGTCTCTCAAGGCATTTCATTATGATAGGTGTGAGTGCAGTTGGCTGAGGCATATGATGCTGAGTTTCTTTAGTATGGGTATGATGGTTTTGGTTTTGGAACACGTGGGAACAGCAGACTGGGCCAGGAAGAGGTTTAAGATGTCTGTGAAAGTTGCAGTCAGCTAGTTGGCACATACTGCCATCATGCCCAGCGGCTTTGTGTGTGTGAGCTCTTGATAACTCTCCTCACCTCATTGTTAGACAATATCAGTAAGCCTATGTTTAGTTTTGTTTGTATAACTTGTCTGACTTTGTGCTGTGGAAACCAAGTAATTGATTACAACATATATGCAGGCTCAAAAGCAGAGAGAGATGGGTTCAACCGTGGTGTGAGAAATATGGCCACTTCTGATGACACTGAAGATGTTCCAGCTTCTCTACACAGTATGCCATATATGTAAAGCATGAACCCTGAAGACCAAACCAGTTCTATATATGTTGCTTAAACGTAAAGCAGATGAAGTACACCAAATATAAAATAAATAATTCAATTGTTATCTCAATAAATAATCAACCCATCAGGGAGTGTTGAATTTTCCATGACTAACACAATGGTTTTTAACACCTTTGTACATTTAAACAGAATTCAATTGATTTGTGTGGTCACAATGGGCCACTTTCCATAACCCAGGTCCCCTTTAGTCTAAGACTATACTAAAAAAGAATTTCTGATGATGGTTTTCCATTGACACTGTAATTTATTTCAAGATTAGAGTTAATTCATTGTTCCCCTTTTGCTGCAGTAACAGCATCTACTCTTCTAGGAAGGCTTTACACTAGATCAGCAGTTCCCATCCTGGTCGTATTTCAAACTCGGGGCTGCGCCTTATGGTTGGATCATTCCTTAGAGCGTATGACCATTTAGGTATGGGGAGTAAGTCAGCTTTCAAATTGGCGCGAACTTACAATAATATGGCAGCTAAACGCACTAAAGTGGATGTTCATTAATTTCAACAAGACTAGACAGATTTGTTTGATTTATGCACCAAAAAAAAACAGGCTGCGTGTGCTGTTCTGCAAAAGCTTCGTTTGCTGAAACCCAAACATACAGAATCTTGTAAACCATGGTAAGAGTTGCAAACTACACTTACAAAATAGCTCAGTGCATAGCTATGATTAGCCCTTTACTAACAGAGAACACATTAAAGAAGTATTTTGTGCAGCAGATGATTTCTTTAACGGTTTGCCGAACAAGGACACTATCATTTCTAGGATTAAAGACACCTGTTTCAGCAAAAGCTGATAAGCGCCGTATCACTGATATGGCAAATAACATCAAAGAACAGCAAGTTGCCTCAGTACAATAGGAACTGTGCTGTTTGAAACCCATCTATGGCACCACAAAAAGGTGAGTACTTGGCTAAAACCTTTGAACATTTTGAAAGCGTTGCCATTGATGTTTGAAAAATCTTTGCTATCACCACTGATGTCGTCCCTGCAATGGTGGGAAAGCAAAAAGGATTCGCCAAAATAATTGAAGACAAAATTCGGCACCCTGTTCTTAAATTCCACTGCATTATACACCAAGAAACTCTCTGTGCAAAGATGACAATTCCTGATCTTAACACTGTGATGGCAACAGTTTTGAAAATTTTTTGCCAGCTCACAGGCAATTCTAAGCACTGCTGGAAGAAATGGAATATATGCAAAGACATTCCACTTTACTCCAGCGTCAGGTGACTCAGTAGTGGAAAAGTGCTGGAGAGTTTTGTGAACTGCATTGATTTCTTGTTGAGAAGGACCAGCATTACCCAGAGCTTGAGGATGTCAGGTGGCTAGAGAAACTGATGTTTTTGAAAAAATAAAAATAAAGATAAAGTACTCAGTGTGCCATGCAATACATTGTATATATTCATAATCCATACATTGATTTTTTTTGTTTTTATTTTAAATTAGCACGCTGTACAAAAAAGGTTGCCATTAAATAATCCCTCAAAAGGGCTCAGTAACACTGAGAAAAATAACTAACTGTAAACTTTGTCAAGCTTTAGCAGTATCTTCAGTATTTGCAAAGAAGCCATTTGTTGAGTTGCTCTTTAGAGGGTGTCTAATGAGGTGATTTCTACAATAGTTAATAAACAAAAAATATTTTTGTAACAATCATATTTAATCAAAACATGTTATTCTTGATTTTAAAAAAATGTATGTATAATTGTTGAATGCTGCATTGCTGACATTTATTACATAAACAGCAACTAAATTTCCAAGGCCTCTGGGAGCTACAGCAGCTCGCAAAGCATATGCTAGTTGTCAACTCCCGTTTTAGATCATGGTAGCTACCTAATTGGTAACATTTATGCAAAATTATGAATATATTCTTACAATGTAATAAGATCAGAGTTAAAGGAATTTTTCAGTGAACAATTAAATTTACACTATTTTCCACTTATCCCAGATGTAGTCCATCAGTTTAGCTTCTTTAGTTCTGGAGATACAAGGCTAACACGCACTAAAAGTCAGTTGTCAACCAAATCTTTTTCACAAATACATGCCCGAAGTTCTATCAACACACTGCATCCTGGTCTCCATGAAGGTCACACAGACTTTCATATATAATGTTATTTATAAAAAAAAAAAAAAAAAAACAAGAAATCATGGATGTAATTTAGCATCCATATACTTGTGTGGTGCATGCACATTCAAAGGGGAGATGGAATTCAGCTCTTTTTGGGGATGTATTTCTGGAATTACACTTAGGATGACTAGTGACTTTGAATGTTTGTTAGTGACATTTGTCTCATAGCTCCAGTTTAAAACTAAGAAGCAATTTTTCGGACATGAAACGTCTTGAATTGATTACATCAGAGGTAAGTGAATAATTGTACAATTTGATTTTTTTCACCCAACTATTCTTTCAATTACACAGCAGTCAGAGTTCTGTTGTGACATGAGAAACTTTGCTTGGTATAGTTTTTTACAGGATCAAAACCATGGTGGTATTTGAAGTGAAAGCCTGCATCTTCTGGGTGTTTGGGTTAAGCAACAATAGGCACAATTAAGAAGTTATATAAGCTTCGAAGAATCCTTATGTTATGGCTTGTTATGTCTGTTTTAGAGCGTCTACTGGCAGCAGGTGCTTAGTTAACACCACCACGTGTCTCATAAGAAAAAATTAAGTGAATTTACGTTTGATTATACGAAGAGTTGGTTACGGTGCTGGATTTTGCCTGTTTCATTGCGCACTCCTAATTAAACTTTTGAGTATACATACAGCAAGCAGGCTGTGTAGCCTATATGTGTGCTTTTGCAAGTGAGAGGTCTTACGAGGTTGAAGATTTTTCTCTATTACCATCCCCATCCTCGACGAGGGAAGGTGTTTCTGATCAGGCATTGCGTCTTGAGCCTTAAGAGTACGAGCCTCTCAGTGTGTCCCAAAAGCTATATGCACACAGAGCGCTGACGTAATTCTGGGAAAATCTCAGCCAGCTACAACACTTCCGCTATTCATACTGTTGCTGTGATTTTTGTTAAGCGGCGATAATGTCCCTGGAAAAGAAGTTTTAAGTTTCAACGAATCGACCGTGCTACAGCTGAACATTGTTGTGTGCCTTTGTGTCAAGCCTCCAGTAAGTACTTAGTTTTTATACGTTTCCCTCCGATGCGGAAACCTATACTATACACTGTTGCATGTCTTCTGACAAGTTATCAAAACCCAGAAGAAGCCAGAATAGCACTTATACATTACAGTGGTTCCCAACCCTTGTCCTGGAGAACCCCCTGTACTGCACATATTATTAGTGTTTTTCCTGCTGTCAACACATCTGATCCAACCAATCAGCTAATTAACAAACCCTTCATCACGTGAAGTGGGTGTGTTCGGAACAGGGAAAATGCTCAAATTTGTAGGTCAGGGGTCCTGAAGGACCAGGGTTGGGAACCTGTGATGTATTGCATTTACATTTAGTCAGCTGATGTTATCCAAAGTGACATCCTCTGCTGGCCTTTTTTGAACATGGAAGAAGTGTTAGCCCCTTACCACCTCCAACCCCAAAAAAGCCTATCAGAGGATGTATATTGTCTTGAAGACAAAATGTAAATCTTGTAAATAGCAATTATCTATGTACTTACATTAAATCTGTTTTATATTGTTCATTATTGAAAACTGATTTATTGTAATAAATTCAATTTAATTTTATTACTCAGTTTTTTTTGGCCACCTACCTGTCAGTCCTGCTCCCCTACATTCCTCTATCAATCACCATAGTTTACACAAGACAACAAAAACACTCCAATGCTAGTCATGTATCTTTATTACACTGTATCATTTCCTATATAAAATTGTTACATACATATACAAATGACATTTGTACAACAATAATAATAAATAATAATAAAACAAGTTTAAATTGTATATGGATACCACGTTGAAATTATGAAAACTCAATTATGAAATGCAATGCCTAACAGCAACATTTCATTGATGTAACAGCTGTAACCTACTGAGCTCCAATAAATGAATGAAATGATCAAATATTTTAATTACTACTATTTACGTTGGAAGTAAATGGAACGTAACAGTTATGTTAACAGTAAATGAAATTTGTTACTTTTTACAATTAATTAAGCTTACTTTCAAGAAGTTCTATCTCAATCTATTTATCGAGGGAAGTATAGAGATAACAATAAAAGAAAGAACAGGTCAGTTTTTGGGGGAACAGAGCTGGGCTTCAGGTCAGAATAATGTGCAGTCTGGTATATAAGTGCTGCCACATAGTTGCACAAAGCTGCCACACAGGTACACTGGCAGCTTTGTAGCTGCACAGGATGGGAAGCACAATCTGTAAAAATACACATCTGTTACAGTACATACTGTAGGTGCTGCAAGTGCAGTTAAACAATAAAATGTTATTTCTAAACAATAAATGAATGAACTTTTATTATAAAGGAGCATGATTACAGGGTTAGCAGTATTAGATTCACAGCATTGATGTGATTCACAGAAACTTGATTTGACGAATAGGAGACATTGGATGTCTCACGAACGAGCCTGCACTGATACCGCAGGATAACTTTCCCTAGTTCAGTTAGTTCTGTTAGCTCAGTTATAGTTCAAACAGCTTTTATTAAATTATAAAGGAGAACACATGAGTACAGTGAGAAGCTCTGGAAAAAAACAAACAAAAAAAAACATGAAAAATAACAAGGAACACAACATAATACAATGGAAAAGAAGTGACAACCCACTCTAGTTTCTGTGTATCCTATTGTTTTTACAGATTTTTACACACTAGTATTATTCATAGAATATCATATGAAATACGAACTAAAGTAGCCTTTAGCAGTATTGGTTTCACTGCATTGATATGATTCACAGAAACACCGCTCTTGTATCGTTAGCCGCTCGCCTCAGTTTAAACCTAATACTTATATTTAAAAGTTTACTCGTCAGCCTCCGTTCGCT